TATATATATATATATATATATATATATATATATATATATATATATTTTTATATATTTATATATATATATATTATTTGTGATATTATAAACTACTTTAAATTCCAAATTATGTCCAAGAGCAGCAGGTATGGAGAATTAAATATTCAGCACTATTGTACCTTCAGACAATCATGAACAAGTGGTCAATAAGCAGCAACTACAACATGACCTTGTCATATTACTTTTACTAATGTAAAATAGGGGGGAATGTTTTTTTTTAAAGTTTTATTTAATACTGACCTATTTACAAATAAAGGTGATATTAAATATTTTTTAAAAAATATTAAATACAATAATTATTTAAAAACAACAGCCTCTTAACAGGATTCAACCCCAATTTATTAGTCCTCATTAGTGTCCAAACAAAGTAGATTAGAACCTAGCTCTGATGCAAATGACTTCCTGGTTATTTCATTAAGCAATTTTGTACTGATATTAAACAAATGATACAAAATGAATCCCTTGGATACTCCACACCTTAGTAATGGAACTGAACAAAATTCCCAAAATTGTGGTTTTAACTATGACCCATAGAGCCAGTCCAACAATATATTACTGCACAATCAGTAGCATCTAATGTGATTGAGATATCCAGAAGTATATGGTTAAACTTTCACATTTCTCTCTTTCAGCAGATCAGTTATAAGAATAATCAACATGATGCTGATTCCAATCCCTTAATTTAAACAATGCTGGAATGGTTCTAGATAATCAGTTTCTCCCAAAAACAAAAACTAACCAACCACCTTTCTCAAAATACCTTAATGTTCATATATATCTGGAACTAGTACAGAAGAAGCTATCCTTCTGTCTCCTTGAAAATGATCTCGCCATTTTATGCATCTAATTAATATTTATTAGTTGCAACGGAATCAAGCTATACGTTGGGAGGGATTTCAGTTCACACTAACTGGAACTATTCCCAAAACACTGAATTGGCAGCACTCTAAAATGTCTTCCATAAGTGTTATAATTGCCGGTCCAAGACGTTGCAGACATACTTTTCTCAAAAGTGTTCCGCAAAATTATGATAGAAGAGATGAATCTCTATCACTAATTCGGTTTCACTAGAATAATTATGTTCAGCAACCTCTCAAGGATGAAATTGTCCTCTTTGTTTAGGCCAGACTTTCCAGGTAGGCCAGGCTGGAAATACAACCAAATGAACTCATTCTGCCTTAGGCTACATTAACAGAAATGAGATGAAAACCTCCTGCTGTCTCTTTTACAGTCTGAGAGGTTATGTTTGGGTCTCTCCCTCTGTGCATATTATGCAATTGAGAGTTATGTCATCTCTTATCTGAACATTCCCTAGGCAGAACCTCTTCCCTGTATCCCAAGTTCATACCCACACACCACTACAGTTTAAAACTCACAGTTGCTAGGCAAAAAAAAAGCAATTTACTCAAAGCAGAATAGGTAACATCAGTCAAGGAAAGGAATGTAAATCAAAACAGCTTCCGGAAAAGAAACCTTGTCTGAGCAATTTTGCTTTTAACAGGAGCATGCAGAAGAGTAATCAAAATCCAATCCAAAGTTCACGGAGCCAAGTTAGGTTTGTCAGCTAGTCCAAGGTCAGAGTTTCATGAACAAGATTCACAAGAACAATACGCCAAAGGAGGAAATCAGACATTGTTTTTTTAATAAAGTAACACAGATAAAGCTGCCTTTTAAATTAGGTTGCAGACAGCTATCTTTAATCAAAAAGTGCTACTCCCTTGCTTGACAAGAAGCCTCACTGAGCACCTTTGCTCTGTTCTCTGCTCTACTCTCTGAATCTGAGAGCTTGGAAGCTGAAGCCAACAGCTCCACACATTCTCATGATGCCTCTGTTCGATCAGCCTCGGGTGATTCCTGACTGAAGAGTTTCTTGAGGCTGATATTCCACATGTTTGGTTAGAGCAGCTTCTTAAGAATCTGAGTCCTGGGTCATGGCACTATCTTCCTTCCCAGAACTCTGTTGAATCTCAGATGGATGCTTATGTATTGTTTATGGAAGTAACATAACAGAGGTGGAGCATGAACTTGGAATGCATCTTCACCACCATTTCTCTGAGTCATTTCACTGGGCCATTTCTCTAGTCCAGGGATATCAAACTCAAGGCCAATGGGCTAGATATGGTCTGTGGGTGCTTAAATCTGGCCTGTGGGTCTACCCTGGAAATATGAAAGGACTGGCCCACAATGGCTCTGGCGGCTAAATTGGGCTGTGTGCAGCACACACACACCCACATCTCATTTTCACCCTCCATGGCCTCCTGCAGCACTGCCAACTGAAAACGTCTCCAAAAATGGCCCTGAAAACGACCGGCAGATGGCTATAGGCCATGGAGGGTGAAAACGAGGTGCAGGGAGGCTGAGTGAAGAGCCCACCCCCCCAAATCCCCGCTTTGAACTACAATGCTGATCTGGCCCTCAAAGAAATCCAGTTTGACACTCCTCCTCTAGTCCATCAAGCAATGTAATCAGTGTTGATACCTATGGGAGTCCAAAATATGTACCACCTCATATTTGGGGTCATCATTTATCCTGATAAGTGGTGGAGGCAGAGAATTTGAACAATGAGACATTAGAGCATCAAGTGCCAACCATGGTCTATGGAAGTTGGTAGACTTTATTTGATGCAGGTAGTTTAACATAATGGGTTAATGGGTTACTCATAGCTTTAATAAGGAAAGAATTAGGTGGCCTAGCTTTTAGTTACGTGCCTGGTGTAAATCCAAACTAAGTCTCCAACTATTGAAGTAACTACAGGTTATTGAAATTGATCAGCAATGTGTCTATATGATATTTTTTGCTTTCCGTACATGAAAGACTTAGTGGATTGCCTTTTGTTCCTGCAAGCACTGACTGCATATGTCATTGATTAGGTAACGGAATCCAGAGGAAAAAAAGAAAAAATCAAAGGTGGAAACCATAATTAATAACAATTGTGTTATTTGTGTAGAGATGTATTGTGCACTGTTTTAGGCACATTCCTCTGAAGCCAGAAATTTAGTCCAATTGCTTTGGTGCTAATTTACATCCAGTAGCACGAGAGAACTGGCTTTCCTGGAACATTTTTTGACCAGCAGCAAACAGGGCACGAAACAATATATAGCTCTACTTCTATCTTGTAATGTGATCATCAGAAATCTCTAGCCATCTATGCAAAGTCTTAAAGGGAATAAAATGCTATGATGGTGGGCTGTCATACCATTGATTAAGAACAGTAACCTGCAAAGTTCCAATGAGAGCTCAACCTTGAAAGAAAAAGACATTGTGATTCTATAACATGGGGGAGGTTATTATAGATGGCTTCAATTTCCTTCTGATAGGCCTGGGCAACAGCAGGTAAGGCAAATCTATTCTTGTAGTTCTTGAAGTATACAGTGGAACATTGGAAGCAGCAATTTTTTCTAGAGATATAGTAGGAGCAGCTGAGAGTCAACGTCTCAGGGGCTGACACAAAGAAGAGGGAGTCAAGCTATTTTCCAAAGCACCTGAGGGCAGGACAAGAAGCAATGGATCGTAACTAATCAAGGAAAGAAGCAACCTAGAACTAAGGAGAAATTTCCTGACAGTTAGAACAATTAAATTATTTCAGCTGTGATAAGTTTGATAAATAGCACCCACAGGAGAACAGGATGTAGGAGTGTATCTGCCACAAGCAGCAGCACTCCCAGCGCTACATCACAGGCATCAGACCCTATGACAAAAGGCTATGTTGGATCTGGATGAAGAAAGGTGGACTGAGAGACGAAAGCATTTTTCTTCTTCTGAGGAATACACAACCATCAATAACCTGGACCAAGTGGGTAAGTGGTCCAAAAGTGATTGGCAGGCTGTTACTGCTAGTTTGATGAAGAAATTCTCTACTTAGAGCAATGGGATTGCTGACATAATCCCAGTCCCTAATGATGAAGCTCAACTGCCTTAAGGTTCAATTTTATTTATTTATGTTTGTTTATTTAAAAAAAATATGGCTGCCCATCTTAAACAACTCTGAGTGAGTTATACCAGTAAAACTTTTGAAACCAAAAGAAAATTATGTGTCCAAACACATATCTAGTATTGTTTTTCCATGCAAATCCAATCTTTCTAAAGATTTCTAAGGAATCTGTGAATTAGGAAGCAACTCAGTTTAAATTGCTTCAAGTTAATACAAGTACTACAAATGCTTATAACAAGGAATGTTATTATAGTAAAGTAAAGTAAAGTAAAAGGCTATGCTGGATTTATGAATATATATGAATCTATTTGTAAAAATAGAGAAAATGTTTCTTATTTAATAAGGCTTAAATAATTCATTAAATATTATATTTATATACTATCATGTCTGCTAATGAAGAACAATTTTCTGTGAAATTGAAAAGGAAGACCTTTTTAAGAATAAAATTGTATACATAAGCTGACTTTTCAACACTTAAACAGACTATTCAGTAAAAGCACAATCAGCAATAGATTAACTTACTTCAAGAAAAAAATTAACCAGGTATGGATCTTGTTTCAACTTTGAACATACTGTGCAGAGAAACTGGATTTCTTCATTTTCTGTAGGTGTTGCAAGAACTTCACCACACAGTCTTATTAATTTCTGTTGGGGAAAAAATTAAGGAATATTTTAAAATCAGATTTCTTTTTTTAAGTAACAATTTCTACTGATTCTTCATACTGTAGATGTCCTTAAACATCTACATACTGTAAATGTCCTTAAAATAGAAAAAAACCCCAAGACAAAATGTATTTAATTATCAAACAATGTATTTTCAAATGTGTCATTTTTAAAATTAATCCAATACCTGTACAGGTCTGTGTACATTTATGTGTGGAAGAAGAGGTTGCCGTATTCTTCCCAGAAGTTTAGTATAAAAAGATAAAACCTGCTGTTTCATGCCTGGAGGACACTAGAAAAAAAATGAACAAAAATTAAAATTATATGGAAGCTGATGAAAATAATTATTTTCAATATTTATTTGCATATATATAGCTTTAGTTAATAAACTTCTGATATTACAGAGCTTTATTTTCTAACTTGAAGTATTGAGCTTTTCTGAATCCTATGTTGATTGAAAGGTGCTAACAAATACTACACAGAATAAATACTACACAGAATAAATACTAAATTAATTTTTTAACAAATAGAACAATATGTTTTATAACAAATAGAACACAATTACAGTATTTAAGAAAACTAATCTTTATAATGCACCTGACATAGCAGGGTCAAACATGTAGTAGCTGTTAGAAATACCTTAAAATAAATATATGTTACCTACGATTGTTGATCCTTATGAAGTATAGATTCTTTAAAGATACACAGCAGGTGCTATATGGTTGCCCATCTGGATACTGAATCACATTTTCCCACCTGAATTGATCTCTGCCCAGACCTTTTTTTGTATGTCATACCAGCATTTTAAACTAACAATGATACAATGATACATACCAGCATTTTAATCTAACAATCATACAATGATACCTGAGCCTGTACATAGGCATGGTTGCATTGATTGTATGGAAAGCAACCAATATAGTTTAGGTATGACTTACTGAAAATATAATTAGTATTTGTGGGCCTAAAACTAGGAAGATGAAGCCATGTATACTGATACTTTCCCAGCAGTGGGAAAGGGGGGGGGGGGGGGGGGGGGGGGCTTGATTAAAAAATTTATACGGAGCAACAAAAATTTTCATACAATGGAAGATACTACAATGAAGGCAACATCACAGAAAGGATGGTGATTTGCCTTTGTCTGTGCAGTTTTGATGAATTTACAAATCAGATCAATCATTTATTTATAATTTCAGTAAAGACTAACAGATAGACTGGGCAATAAGAAAACAGGATTGAATAACTCAGGAACAAACCAATTCAGAGTTCAATAGTTTTCAATCTGCCCACTTGCGAGACTTTCACATGTCATCATTTTTCATGTGTTTATGCATGTTTTTAACTTTCAACAGTAACATCTTCCTAAATTATCATTTCCAAGACATCATTTCTTGTTCAAGAAGACTGGAAGAACGTGAAGATTTAACATGTGTTAAATAAATATAATTACATCCAATCATAAGATCTGGCCTTTATTGATAAAATCTGATAAACTTACATCAGCCTTTCCCAAAGTGTATAAGGTTTCCAAAATTTTGTGATGTAGCAGATATTCCATACAAGGACCTGTTTCTCCAGATTCCCTTTCATTTTCTTCTTGAACCAAAATGTCCAACATCTGCTCCAGATGTGATGGAATATTGGTATCAGTCACAGGAGCCTTGTCATCTGCAGAAAGCATTTACATTAAGATCCAGCTTCATTAGCATGGCACAGTAAGTTTACCATTTTAGCAAATATTGTTTTTATTTACTTTTAAATTTTACTTTAAATCTATCATGTGATAGAAAAAATAGACGAGGCAAATATATTATTTTGACTAACAATTAAAATTGGTGCATATCTGTTCAATAAGCTTAAACCAAATGGTTGATGATATTTTGGTACAAAAAAGACAAGAAAACTCTTGAAAAAACAATTTGGAAAAAGTCAATTATATATCCTCATCTTCCATATTACTAATACACATATTTTCTGATGTTAAGTTTAAATATAAAATATGTTTAACATATGAATAAAAGCAAACAAAATATATATACTACTAGTGTAAAAAAAAGAACTGAAGCTAAGTGGTATTTATTTATCTCAGAATGCTTAAAGCAATGGAGTTACAATTTCATCTAAGAAAACAGTTACATTATAAATAAACCAATGGAAAGTTTGCTGCATTTCCCCTTATGTAACTTTCTACAAATAAATAGTATTTCAAGATAAAGAAAGTCAAAGTCACAGGGACCATTTGCAACAGCTGAACTTCGGGACTTCTAACATTACAAATGTGTTTTAGAAGTGTTGCCAAGTACACCATCCAGAGGTCATCAACTAGATTCCTCTTAATTTTATTACTTCTTGGATCTGATTCTGTGTATGCCGTATGTGTGGAACTACAATTCCCATCCACTGAATTGAGGAAGGATAATAAATTGAAGAATATTCTTTTAGATTACTACTTTCTAAGTGACAACGAAGAATTTTATCTTACCTGACGTTTCTATGTAATAATGGGTAATTGCCTTCCAATGATAAACGAAGTCCTCTTGCAATGGAAGGGAAGGTGCAAGCTGAAGAAATACAAACAAGTGGAAGATATTTTCTTCAAAATATGTATTTTATATTTCTCCAATAATATTTGAAATTCACTTATGAAGTTGTAACAAAATATACTTGACAGATACATTGTTCAACAGGAGAATGATATAAAATACGGCTGTCATTAAATCAGGTTATATAATTCTGAAAAAATGATCAATAAACCTAAGTGTGTTATCTTTAACTTATTTACTTTTATTTATAAAAATATTCTGATTTTATTCATGGGAAAAAGCTAAGAGGAAACATTATAATAGAACAAAATAAAAGCAATATGAGAAGGGCCCTAGTAAGACTTACGACCTTTGGTTCAGTGACCATTTGAAATTACAAGTGTTGAAAAAATGGACTTATTGCTGGTCCCAAGGTTAGAAGCACTGAAGTACCCTTGCTGTAACATCATCAAAATTTGGGTCCGCCTGCACTTATTTCAGGGGTGTTTCAACTCCACATACCTTATTTCCCCTCCACCATCTCTGCACTCCACCATATACCGTTTAGCCCCTCTGTTCGCAACTGCTCTTTGCTATCTTCTTCACCCTGCTAGTGGCCCAGGAATCAGGATTGGGTGAGGATAAAACCTTGAGATAAAACCTTGCTGTAAGGTCAGCAGATCAATGGAACTCATTTGTTGAAGTTAGAGCTAACTAGGTCTGGCTACGGAGAAGGCAGTATGGCTTCTCCAATGCCTGGCAAAGCAGGCGATCAGGCGGCAATTCTCCAGGCAAAGATGGGAAGCTGTTTGACATGTACTTTTTGGAATGGTGGCATTACTGGAAGAAGTGGAGAGATGAGGGCTTCTGGGACTATGCAATACATACTATGTAGCTTGTGCTACAAGAATTCCTGGAAGCGGCCTGCCAGGATGTCCATTCACAAAGAGTCCAGGCACTGCCATAAATGCTGTTGGCATTGGGATATTTAGGAATGGCATCCATGGCCAGCAGTTCTTCAGGACCCTCGTGGTGGCAGATGGGTCCCTGAACTGGGCTGCCTGTGCCTTGATCAAAGCTTAAAAGTCTATGCCTGCAACACACCTTCCCTTCTAATGGCTGCTAATATTGCCTCTGCCATATATATTCCAAGAACTCCTTAGTTTTTACAAGACTACCTACTGCACAATCTTTCTGGCCAATGAAGTGGTGAACTACATGATGGAAGGTCTTAGCCATTTAACTTGAAAATCTCAAGTGTCTTAAGACCTTTTTCTGATTGGTTAAGCCCTCTGAGACTTTATCATGTGGCTCACCTTCCTTCTACAGACCTTACCTAGTGCTTTTCTTAGTTGGTTTTTGAGAAGAAAATGATTTACTTAACTGAAAATATACACAAACGTCACAAACATTTGTCTGCACATTCCATGCTTATATCACTGTATTTTATTTCAACTAAAACACCCTGTTTAATTTAGTATAATTTTCTCCTTTACTCAATCTTAAGTACTATAATAAATATCATCTGAAATCATCTAAAAGTAGGAGATTCTTGAACACAGCACTAGACATTAATTGCAATTGCAATAATTAAATTACATGCAGACTTTTGCAGCACTAGCATTCATTGACACAACTGAGCATTCCGCCATTAGAATGCATTGTGCATGTTCGTATGTACCAACAATAATCCATCTGTCATTCTTTGCTTTCCTAAGTATAAGGTCAAAACCAATGATACATTAAAAGCATTACATATTCTACATATTGATACATCTCTATCAATTGCAGATATGAGAAACCATGGGTAATCTGTGATTACTCAGAGCACATAAATTGATTCAAATGAATTCTTAAATACGTGTGGTATCCAAAAAGAAAAATACTCTGCAGCATTAAGTGTAGTGAACAATGAGTCATGCTGTAACCTTAGAGTAAGAGATTCATTTATAATTTATAATCAGAAGCTATTTTTTTCATCTTTTTTTCTCCCATCCTTGTAATTTTAGCTTTCCCTTTGATTTCTTTCTTTCCTCCTCAATATTTTTTATTAATTTGAATTAGTTTTATCTTTTTTAAACTTTAAAAATTATAAATATAAAAATATTATATATACATACATACACATATAGGTAAAGGAATTAGTGCTGCCTACAACATAAACATCATGCTTCAGCATTAATCTAGATACTGCTAGTTCTTGTGGCAGAAATAATTCCTTGATCTATATAATCTACTCACAGAAAGCATACTTATATTAATGCGGTGTGTGTGTATATGTGTGCGCGCACACACACACACACATGCATGTGCCTTTAGTTATCACAATCAAACAGCATTCAAGGAAGCATTTCCTTTGCATAGGAATAGATGATGGTATGCGTTCAGCATACATTAATTGCAGGAATAACCTGTGTGGATCTACTGACAAGTTTATAATGCATATGAATGTCACACAACTGTCCCTTATGTCAACTGATATTTCTTTAGAGCCCACTATACTTGAATCTATACTTTGTATGATACTGGTTCATAGTCTGTTAGAACCAGGCCGCACATCTGCAGGTCAACGGCAGGTGAGCAAGCAAAAGCAAAACCATCCACCTCTGCTTCGTGGAAAAACTGTCTTCCATGAAACCAGTTCCTGGTGCCCTATTATGCAGTCCTAGTATGCAGTCTTAATCAAGAATGTGTTAGCAAAAAGTCCTACCAAGTTTAATACAACTTTCTAGTTAAATGCATATAAAGGTTATAGCTAATTTGCACTGTCAATTTTTCAATGTGACAAGGATGCATTTCCACTTGTGCTAGTCTCTTATATGAAAAATATATGCTTATGCGGTTAAAAACTGTTTTACTACTGTAGTAATATGCTGCTTTCATTCCACCCTTTCCATTAGCTTAGTTGACTCTTATGATTAAATATGCCATAGATTAGCATCCAGTAGAGCAACTAATGAATGCTTTGGAAAAGATATTAAAATACTGTTATGTGTCTATATCTACAAAGATCAGAATCATGCAAGCTATGTTATTCCCTGCAACACTCTGTGGAAGTGAAAGTTGCACTTTAAAGAAATAGGCGCGGAAGAACGTTAATGCTTTTCAACTTTGATGTTGAAGAAGACTCTTAAGAATATTGTGGACAGCCAAGAAAACAAATTGATGGATAATTGAACAAATCAATCCACAGTTCTTACTTGAAACCCAAACAACTAGGGTCAATTATCCATTATGTGAAGACCCAGCTGTCCAGAAATACGCTGGGAAAGATAGAAAGGAAATAAAGAATAAGGTGGTTACAAACAAAATGGATAGTTTCAGAGATGATGAACAATTATGAACAAACAGATTAGGGGTAGATCATCTTAGAGAAAATCTATCTATGTGGTAACTAGGAGTAATAGGCACGTAATGGACCTATCAATGATTAAAGTATATGAAGAAGTCATATGCTTTGTCATCATACAGTTCTCAAGCATGGCACAGTAGTGGTAGAACCCTGAACTAAACTATGCTTATGATGTCATCTTTTTTATTTCTTTTGCTGAATGTGCAATAGGGGACTTTGTCTCCTTCATGTCCAGCACAGAACTTTAATGGATCGATCCGTCAAAATACAAATAATCCTATTCCTGCCAAAAACCTCCTAGGATTGTATAAACAGATGGTATAAGGAGCCAGATGTGAGCCATCAAACTCTCTCACCTCTACACTTTTGTTCCCTAGGGAAACCTCTTTAAAATCAAGGATCAAGTGATCTAACAACAGATCATATCCTCTCTTCAAAGCACATCCTGTACTGGATAAAAATTGGAAGACTCACTCCCATGTAACACAAGCTGCATTTTGTGGTAAGATCTGTTCTGCTATTGTCCTGAAGCCTTCTGGTGATCCAAAATTAGCACTACACCCATTTTAATTGTCTAATTGTCTTTTATTGCAAAACAAGTACCTTTTTATTTACCAGAGCCTTATAGCTAGTTTTTATTTGGCTACATTTTTTGTTTTAACATAAACATTTGTCTATTGGTTTATCCCTCTTGTAGCCTAGGCCCAGAAGCATAATTCAAGAGAAATGTAAAATATTTCAAATACATGAAGTAAATGAAGTAAATAAAGTAAATAAAAGAAAGGAAAGGAAAGGAAAGGAAAGGAAAGGAAAGGAAAGGAAAGGAAAGGAAAGGAAAGGAAAGGAAAGG